AACAGTAAAGGGTTCAGCAATGATAGCAAGATCAAAAAACCTTAAGAGCATTCGGATCATGGCGTCCATACAAAATATCTCTACTGTCCTCAGAAGATCCAGTGGCAGTGTTTGAATCTCTAAGATAACACAAGCAATAACATGTGCATAAACATTCACAAATCAAATTTTAACTCTGTTATTACATGGGGCCGTGGGGGATTTCAGCACAAACCTCTGGTTCTTTATAACCATTTGTGTCTCGATTTCCTGCAAATGGTGCAAACAAGTCATATAAGTTATAATTAAAAGATCACCCATGAGATTGATGTGAAAACGCTACAGAAAGTGTTCAATTCAAAAGAAAATACTTGTTCATGCAGCACAGCATTCTGAGCAGCAGCTTCAATATCATTAACCCTCTCAGATTGCACATGGCAACCATTGGACCCATTAGGAGGCTGCTCGGTTATGATATATTGAGCATTATAAGTTTCTGAGGAAGAAAACGTGGGCCCCAAAGAGGATGCATTATAAGAAGATGAGACCGGCAATGAACTTATGTGGTATTGAGTTCCAGGTGGAGGAGGCTCATTAAAATGACCTTCCATGATCTGGAAAATATATATATACATGCCAATATCAGTAAAATGAAGCACTAATAGTTAAGGGAGCCAGCTGCAAACATTGATATTAAGGTAAAAGGAGGCAGCTTCGTATATCTCGGTTCAAGGACCAAGGGAATAAAATTCAGGGAAGAAAAATGGAAAATTCCGAGCTTCTCATGGGTTATCCCAACAAAGCAATACCCCTTATTTTCAGCAATGAGGCTATTACTTTTTATGTAAGCATTGTGATAAATGATTATAGTTAAAGATAACACAAAATGATATTAGCAAGAAACCAAGAAACGCCCTCACCTCGAAATTTTTATCAATACATACCAACTTAAGAGAGACAATTAAACAATATTCAACAAATCAACTTTAGCAGTGTGTTTAACGTCCAGTGTTTTCTGACAAAAGCTACCTAAAACACTTGTACCAAATGGCTGCCACATAAAAAAGTACAAAAAAATGCAGTCTCTAGCAAGCGCGCCCAGAAAAAATCAACAGAATCAGATGTTAACCTCCACAATCCCTAGGAGTACATGATTACTTCCAGAAAAAAAAATCAAGATAAATAGTTGACAGCAGTGAATAACAAAAGAAACAAAAAAGAACAATAACAGGGGATTAACTTGAACCAAAATTAGGCATTCCTTCTCGTAATCTACTTGTGCACTTCTCTTTAAAAAAATAACTAAACTGAATTTGCTCCACAAACTCCAATAAATATTCGACCGAGTTTGATTAAAAAAACAAAATTAAAGAAAAAAAAATGAAGAAGCAGACATCCTAACATTCAATGATGAACAGTGATAGCTAAGAAATATGATGTAATTGAACACTCAGTTAATCTTAAATTCAGCAAACCTGCAAAGCAATTCAGAAGCTGGCAACTGGGAGAGTCGAGTGAATTTGTGAAAATCTCTGATGGAAAAATGCCTCAGCAATGGAAGAAAATTTGTACAAGGCTTTTTAATGAGTGATTTGCTTGATATATATGGGCTTTGACAGCGGTATTACCATTGGGCCTATCCTTTACGGCCTAAAATTTATTTTCTGCCAATTTTATATTAGACATATTCCTCCAAATACACACATGAAGAGTTTCTCGAGCTTATATATGATGATTAGTAATCATACTTGTCAAATTATGGAGCTTTGGAGTAGTAACGTAAATTTAGAAATTTAACCACGTCTATTTAAAAATTTCAAATCATAAAACACTTGATAAACTCAAATTATAAACATATTTAAAAACCTAATAACTTTTTTACTTGTTATCAATTATTGATATATGACGTATCAAATTTATCATGTTTTGACGATTTTTTTATTTGATATCCACATTACATATATATAAAGAAAAATTGTATCTACCAATTATTCATAAATTAATTTATCTAATATATCATAATTGAAAAATAATAAAAATAATAATCACTAATTAAATTTATCAATAAAGTATAAATAAAATTATCATAAAATAAGTGAGTACCATTTTAAATAAAAAAGCATAAGATTTTTCAAAAGTATTTAAAAATTAAGTAACAATTTTACTTTTTTTTTAGTAACTTTTAACACTCCCGTATTATTACTTTTTAAGGATAAAATTTTCAATTAAAACTCGTGTATTATTACTTGTTAAGGATAAAGTTTTCATTTAATATCCGTGTAATACACTAGGTGCTGCAGAATTACTAGTTTACGTCAATTATATAAGTTAAATATATATTTTTTAAAATTTTAAGTAATGTCAGACAATTTTTTTTCAAAATTGGATACCAGAGATGACAGGTAAATAATCTACATTTATGTAACCTATGACAAGGGCAAGTGTCGCGTCCGATAACTCGTATTTTTTCACTACAAATAAAAACATATTCTAACCCATCAATTTATATGCGTACTTGAAAATGAAAAATACATTTGGAGCTACTCAAAATCTATGTACAAATTTTAGAGTTTAGGACGCTCGTCCGTTATTGACAACGCCAGCTTCTCAAGACGAACCTGAGCATCCAAAGCCTCCGGATTTGGCTTCTTTTTCATTTTCTTTTTCGGCACTGAATTTGATGCCACTGCATTTACAGGATTTCCATTGGTACTTGCTTTCGCCATTTCTTCCTTCCGTTTGTCGACTTTTGGGCCGTGTGCTAAGGCAACAGGTTTACGAGCACTGAAAACGGGTTTCTTGGTCAAAGGAGAACGCTCGTCCTTCGGTTTTGGAGGCAACACCTTTTTGTTCGTGAGTTTTTCCCGATTCTAAGCAGCAATATGAAATATTAAGAGACAGTAAGGGGAAATGATAATCTATAAATGGGAATAGTATAACATGCGCCACAAACTGAACACAGAATTCAACGGTAAAAAGAAAAATGGCACTTTCTTGATATGTATGAATAATATAAAAACAACCTTGACAAACATTGACTGCGACATGCAGCAACAGCAAAAGTTTTTACGTTCGTAAATTACCTTAATTTATAGAAAAGCAAGATAGATCAGATCAAATGTGATATTATCCTTCCTTTAGAACATATACAGAGATGAAAGACATCAGTCATTGTTATGAACACTTGTATCCTTCCTTTAGGAAATGAACCCTTGGGTTATTTTTAATAATAAAATATCCTTTGAAGTCATTTTCGGCAAACAAAAAACAAATAGAAAAGATAATCAACTAAAGCTATCAATACCTTAGGCGGGCTGCACAGGCGCCTCTTCTTTTTTGCTCTGTATATAGCACGTTTGATTCCATCAGTATCCATTAATCCACTAGGCCACAATACCACAAGCTGCATTAGGAAGACGGAGACATTAATAGAGTGGATTTCACAAATGTTTTTTTCTAGTTAAAGTGGTTGGTTATAAGAACGCAAGTGAAACTACTATGAAACACATCCCCAAGTCTATTAAGCAAAGAAACAAACTAGTCAAAAGAAAAATGTGCAGTAAATATAGAGATGCAAATCTATAATTTTCTAGACCACATTAAATTACTGTAAATTCCCACCACCTCTCCAACTTATTATTTACATCAAAGATCTTCGGCACAATAACAATCAAAGAAATCTATTTCAGCTGATAAACCTACTTGAATGAAACATTATGGGAGCCAAGTTTCAACTACCTCTTGATATAGCCTTCTTATCGATGGACCTGAACCCTCATCTATTCTCTGGAGCCAAAAAAAAAAAANACTAACCACAAACCAATTCAATTACTCATTCGTTTTTCCTTTTTAGTTTTTCTTTTCCTTTTTAATTTAAAATGGATGTTAAAAGCTTCCAGATGAATCCCGAAAGACCAGTAAATACCTCCACACAAAGGTCATATAAATCACAAATCTTGTTGCCTAGAACATCATCCATGCTGTATTTGCGTTTCAAGACTTCTTTCTCTTCTGAACCTGCTTCTTGGAAATCATCTAAATTTGCAGCTAGCTGCTCAGCCTGCAAAGCATGTAAAAAATCAGGTATTAAATGTAACAAAATAAATCCTCAGTCCCAATCATTCCGTGTAAGGGCTAAGGTGTTTATTATTTATTCTCAATCATTTTTTTTATTTTTCATTTTTATTTTTACTTTTTTTTTTGTGTGTGTAGGGTAGGGTTACATTGTCGAGGTTTTGAGACTAATCATCCGAGTGCATGGTATTGACTTAAATTAACTGGATCCATACTTTTGATATCATATATGGAATCCGCTGCTCAACCATTTTGGCAACCTCTTGTTTTATCTTCTCTATTTGGCCATCCTTCTCTTGTTTAGCAGATAATCCCATATTAGCCATGATTCTTAGATTTCTCTGACAGAAAAGGCATGATTGTAAATCAGTAATACTCGCATTTACATTGCATAAAGGCGAATGCAGAGAAACGATAAAGACTTTGTGAAGTATTATGAATAATTATAATAATGTGAATAATGGTCCTAGGTATTTTAAACTTATCCAAGTTGGTCCTACCAAACCAGTAACCGACTCTTATATAAACCAACAAGACAAAGAAAAAGAAGGAAAAAGGCGATAAAAGAGTTAGACAAATGAAGATACAATCACGGAAATGTATGCTCGTGGACTTAGTTAGATGAGACAAGTGTCATAAATAGCATCTAATTGGTTGTAGCAAACATAAATTGCAATTAGCACGTATATCGGATGGATAATAATGCAAACGTACATCAGGACTTGAAAAGGAAAAAAAACAGATTTTGAATTTGTGCAACGATATTCTTGGAAATTGTATATATGGTACTCGTCATATAAAACTTACTAGTTTCTAGCCAAATTCAGTTTTATGAATACAACGTGAGAACGAAAGAATATTGCTAAAGATTGTAACAATAACTCACTTTATGTAATCCACACAAGAGACCAGGTCATTTATGTAAACAACATAATAAAAATGCATATCACTGTATGGTGGCCACAAACAATATAAACCTATTCTACTCTGCGCATTCCGTATGTTCCTAATAGATGGCTGGTGTATATTCTTTACAAGTTACTCCACATGTTCAGCCAATCTCGATGACAAGGGGTCCAACTATGGTAATTACGCGCCTTTGAAGCTAATCATACACTCATCATACTTTGTATCCAAAATCAAAAAGTTTTGCACTTTCACATCTAGAACACCTCAATTGTGAGACTTCATGTCACATGCATGGTGTGCTTCTTATTTGTGCACATTCTAGTCAAAATCAGACTGTTCTTTTTTTATGTTGGCAAAGGTAATCAAAATGTTTAGCATTAGGCTAAACACGTGACTTAGGCGCATAAAACAATTTGGAACAGACAAGAAAGTGCACATAACAAGAGGCATGACATGCATATAATATAATTTCAGAGGAAATTCGATGGGGAAGCTTCATAAGGTCAAGTGCAGAACCCATATAACTGAAATCGAAAAGTGTAACAAAAACGTTTAATGCCGAAAGATTGGAAAAGACCATAGTAGTGGTGGTATTTTTTCCTATTAAGAATAATTCACCAACACGAGCATTAGTACTAAGTGTAACTTGTTTATATAAGCATACATGGACCCATAAAGCTCTATATTAGATTATTGCTGGTTGAACAGATTCTATTCATACAGATGAGATCCAAGCTAACCCAATACGAAACAAAATACTTCTTAGAGAAACTCCACCCTTAGTAAAAGAAAACAGACAGGGAAATTTAAGGTAAATGAATATGTAAGAGATTTTGAGATTTGTTAAAACTAAAGGGAATGATCTTTAATAGCTCAATAATCAACCAAGTTTTAGGTGAGATTCACAGTCACAACGGGAAATTTGTCAACAAATAAAATAAATACAATTTCAGGTAGGGCAATAACAACTGGAAAGCTCATTACGTCCAGCTCACTCAAATTCTCTTATTTGAATAGCACACACATGAGCAATAAATCACAAATAATCCTAATTGCTTCAGTGAACTTCATAGCAGCATTAGTTTGTTTCATAAAAAAAAATACCCTTACGGAGTTCATCATTGTAGGTGATCATCCACATTTATGGTTCAAGACCAAATTGTGATAGACATGTAAACCAGTGTATCAGAGAGATTATTTAAAACAAACAACTATTTCTAAGCTAAGCTTCATTTGGGATCTATGTCATTAACATTTGAATTTCATTAGCCAAGATATTGTCCTCCTGCAAACAATTTCGTTGTGTCAACACAAAAAAGGGGTCAATCAAAGCAGATATCTAACTTCACTTTCATCCATTAGCAGCATGACCAAGAACGGTATCATAAGACCAAATCTTTTAGCAAGTATTCTCAGTCATTTGAATTGTAGTGTACATAAGAACAATATACACTGCTACGGATCTAGGCTATACAATATCATTAATGAAATTCCAATAAAAAATTCCACATACTAGGGTGAAAAACATAGGAAATTTGTTGTATTCTTCATCAGTAAAAAGATGCTCTTTCTCTAAACACAGTAAAGATAGCTAACAGAAAGAGATCCAGAAAAGATGGAGAAGAAAGTGTCAAGAGTTGGCAAATGCATCGAAAATCCAAGAACTACACAAGAAACATACCGTGAAACATCTGATAAGAAACAAAAAGTACCTCGGGGACCATTTGTAGGAAAGGTAAGAACCTAAGTAACACATGCACAACATATCCATCCTTTTTTAAATGAATGCTGAAAAGCCCTCACCAGCGAAAACATACAAACACTGGCCATCACTTAAAACAGGCACAGCAACCTAATAAAGGGACAAAAACAAACAAACACGAACTTCCCTTATCTCACAGGCCAGACAACTTTTACTTAAGCCAAACTGCACTTAAAACCAATCACAGATCTACTTCTCTTACAGGAAGACAGAAAGAAAAGAGAAAAGAGAAGAAAAGGAGAAAAAGAAAATGATTTAAATGCCACATAAAGCACACTGGAAACTACAACAAACATATTATGAGTAGCAACAAACATATTAAATGCCACATAAATCACATAAACATTAGATCTATCACAATAAAAAGGAATAAATCAAAGTGCTAAGGAAGCGATCTGGAGGAATTCAAAACAACAAAAACAATAACCATTATGACATGACTTCATAGTGAGAGAGGAAGATACCTTTAGAGTTCTAAGTTGCATCAAGTGGCCAACAATGCTCATCAGACGATTGATCACATCCACTGGTATTTCTCCATAGCTGGTTTGCTGCAGACACTCAAAAGTACAAGAGATGAGATTCACAGTGAAGAAAATTCAACCACCAAGCCATAGGAGATGAATAATAAAAACATTTTCATCACTCCAAAGTACCGCTAATGTAGCAACTCTCAACAGCTTTTGCCTTATTTCAGATGGCACTCTCTTTTTGACTGCTGGCGAAGAATTATCAGGATCCTGGACTTCTGTGGAAGGTGGTCTAGCTGTAGTTTTCCCATGCAGAGGATAGCAAATAAATAATTGAGGCATGAATCACGAAACAGTAATTAAGGAAATACAATGACAGGGGCAGGAAGATACATTCTGCAACTATCTTTTCCAACTCCCTAATGGCCTTCTCAAGCTTTGTAGCCTTTGGCCGAACACTAGATCCTTGCTTTCTTGGCATGGGGGTAACCTTCTGTACAAAATGCAAATAAACTTGATTAGGAACGATACAGTTAAACTGATAGGCAAAAAGTGAGGCATCACAAATATAACAAATGATTTTATTTCTGAATGCACATAGAAAGTAGTCAGATATTTTGGGAGAATGTGACAGATAATTAAAGCCAAAGTGTAGCTAAATCATCCATCTCACGAGAACACAATAACAATGCACAGAGCCTTACTAATATCAAATCAGTTTGGCCTCTCCAAAAGTGGCCAAGTCCCAATAATAATAGATATTTTACAAATTCAAATGGTGAAGTACTCCATCAGTAGAATTAACTTTATAAGTTATACTTTTACAACATATAGTCCAATGTAGAAGAGTTCCAAACTCGACAATGAAACTCTTTATCAAATAATAGGTGGTATAACTAAAGTAACAAATCTACAATATCTTACACGTTTCATGAATCCTTCCACTGTTTCAAGCCCCAATTTCAACTTAGAACCTCAATTGAGAAGTCAAAATATTGTGATATCACTTCAAAAGTATATGAACCAGAATATGACAACAAGCTAAATCTCACCGTAGTTGGCACAGTATCCCTGTTTGGAGGGGCGTTAAGGTCAAATTTACCTACAAGCCCGCCTTTTACTTTCTGCTGAATCGGCCGATCTAGATCATCAACATTACTAGATTGTTTCCCATTATGGGTTTTGCTTGAATAGGAGCTTTTATCATTTGGCCTATAGGCCGCAGCATCATGAGGTTCAGTATCTTTCAGTTTCGTACTATGTTTCTTTAATGAGACATTTTCAAGCATTTGCTCATCAATATCCACACTCTGCCTAATAGCACCAACATCCAAAAATCCTAAAGAATCTTCTGTAGCATGTGAATCTGAAGATTTCTTCTTTATTGAAAATTCAGCAGCATCTACAGGTGCAGCCTGAAATTGCATATCCTCACCAGGTATGCTGGGCATACCAGCTATGCGAGGCTGGTTGGTTGAGATTGTTTGTAACACTGACGATGCTTTTTTACCTTTATTCACTAATTTTGCAGTTTTATTTGGGTTACGACCATCATCACTCTCATTTTGTCCTTTTGCCAAATCTTTGTGTCTCCTCTTTTTTGGCTGCTGGTTAGAGGAAATGGTAGGTTCACTGCAGGAAGAAATTAAGTATCATAAAGGTGAATGAAAGATCTAGAACTGTGTTGATGGTGATGATAATGGTACTAATGAAGAAATTACGACAGCTTGTCATGAACAGAAGGTTTTCCAAAAGTGAAATCAATCGAGTTGTAGTAATACGCTCTACACAATCCCAACCAAATATCTCAAAACATAATTGCATAAGAGCCAACATAAATAAATAGAAAAATCACATATGTGCATAAATAAATGCATTCAATGGATTTCAATATATTTTTATAAAGATATAGCACTTTACAAACAGTTCATAACACATGCAGTGATCAAATTATTGCACCACCAGCCATCACTTAATCATAAAACATCAACTACTTTGTGCCACAAATAATTTTAAAAACTTGCCATTAGCAACCTAACACCTTCAAGCATTAATCTCTTGAATCATTTAAATATGCATCAGAAGGATAGACAGCATGTGCATCTCTGGAGAGAGAATCGAACAGCAATGAACACAAACATATGCATCAAAGCACTGATTACATTCTAGTTAGTAATATTATTACAGAACTATTTCGAAATATAAAGTGCTTCTTCCTAATTTGAAAGTCTATAGGTCTCATCCGGGTCAATACCAAGAGGCACTAAAAGATACCAGGAAACCAGCACATTTCATAAATCTCAGCTGCATCTCTGTAAGATAACAGTAAAGTGAAAAGCACATATGCTGTAACTACAACTTGAAAAAAGAAACCTAAGACAAACTTACACACGCTCCAACTTCCCACGGTTAACAAAAAATCCATGATGCTTGACTGCAGAATTATCAACTTGGAAATAGTCATCCTGTACAGAAGATAAGCTCATCAGTTAAAGAACCATGGTATATCACGCATTAATAGGTGCAACAGCATATGTAAAGGCAGTGCCCACCAATTCAACATCATCGATGAAGGAATCATCAGTATCATATTCATCATCATCCGGCACATTGTCTAGCATAACGTCTTCATCATCACTACTCCCATTTCCCTGCAAGTTACATGACACGCACATGACCACGTCATTGAAAAAGGAAAAATGAAGAAGATAAAAAGAACACAGTTAAAAGGAGCGAATCATCTAAACGGTTTAGTGCCTCTATCATCAAATCAAATAACCAGTAGATAATAACTGCACTGCACTAAATGTGCCAAATCCGACCTTGAACCCTTGGGATGCTAAGTCACTAACAATTGATTATAACAAAGAAAAGAAAAAATACAAATGAGAATTTAATGAGCCCATTTGAAAACAGTCCTTGTTCTATATCCCAAACATTACAGATGTTAACTCAGTTAGCATGATTACTGTAGAACAATGACAGCACACACAGGTGAACCCAGACAATAGACAGGAACTTTTAAACAATGGTTATGACGGTGCATCAAGAAATTCGAGTCCAGCTATACACACAATTCATGGATGTCCTGTATGAACAACGTTACACTGATGTTCAAGTATGTGTAACTTTATACATGAAGGAGGTGTTTGTCATGGCCTAAAGAAAGGGTCAGGTGAAAAAAAAAGGTAAAGAACTCAATCACACCCATTATTTTTCGTTTAAAAATTCAAGCCACGTTCCATTTTAATAAAATGACTCGCCAAGACAAAACCAACTTACCGCGTACATTCTCTCGATTCTCTCAATCACGGTATTCAAACGGGTCGACCCAGCCTGCCCTTGAGGATCCTTCTGTTCTTTCTCAGCAGAAGGCTCTACGAAAGCACCACCCACAGGAGGGAGGGGCGGCACGGACACGGGTCGAGGCAGAATTTCGGGTTCCGAAACCGACGGGTCGGGTCTACCGGAATTGCTCAAATTGGCCTCCCTGACAAGCTTCTTCCACGAGACAATTGTTGTTTCTTCTGACCGCAGCTCCACCGTGAATCGAAGTCGGCCGCCGTCCGACTCGAATGAAGATGCGGGCTTCGACGCCGCGCCCAATTCGGGCCCGGGCCCACCACCTTTGCTTCCTCCCGCCATGAACAACAATAATTTTTTCTCGATGAATTGATCAAACTTGTGGCGAGGATTCGGGAAAATAAAACATCAGAAAGAAAATCAAAACAGAAGTGTTTGAAGATTTGGGGCAGATAACCCTAGAATGAGGTTAACCAGACTCAGTGAGTGTAGAGTTTATTAGCGAGGGAAAAAAATGGTTTTGTTTTCTATTTCTTATTTTTCTTTAATACGATTTTAGTAATAAATGAGGGCATATATATCTCATATTTATATTTCTCAATCTAATGTTGTTAATTTTGGAATTTATTCTAGTACTTAAAAAAATTGGGCAAATGTTGAAAATAATCTATACTGGTACAATACTCATATATTACTCATATACTACTTGGCTACTTGTTAAGAAAATTATATATAAAACTAAATAATAATAACAATGAAAATTATTTTAGTTTTTAAATATTTTTTTAAAAACTATATCCCCTCTATATATAATTTCAGAATAAGTTGAGCCTACGTGGCAACCTCTCACGCTTCAGAATCCTATTTGCCAAAAAAATCATTCATTTGAGTTAGGTTTGGATATAAATTAATATTTTTTATCACACTAACTCCATGATTGATTTTTTCTTCTTTACTTCTACAATCAGTTACCATAAATTATTTTATCTTTCTTTTTCCTACATTACCATACATTATATTTCAGTTTCTTATTTAATTTATTCATTAATTATTATAAATGTTTCTTCTTATTATTTTAAGATTTTATAACTTTTTTGTTTGTATTTTATTTTTTATATATCATATATCAAATTAACTATCTTTTAACGATTTTCTATTTGAAATCCATATTATATATATAAAATAAAATATATTAATATATATTCTTATAAATAAAATTTAAGTTTATTTTATCAAACTAAATTAAAAGATATCAAATAAAACTATAAATTATATTCTAAAGTAGTAAAAATTAGTATGTATTCTTTTAAAAATAATATTTATTTCAAATCTAATTGGTATGTTATCAATCTAATAAAAATAAATAATTATTATTTATTTAAATTCTAAAATTACATATAAAGTTAGAAAACTGTAAAGCACGACGGATACGACACTTGATATATTAGTCATCTAATTAAACAAAATACTAATCTATTTTTCTTAATATTAAACAAACATATTATGCACTTATGCATAAACATATCACCATATTACTTCTATTTATTTAAGATATATATTTTTTACTAAAAAATAGTAAATAATATCGATGATTTTATGTGATATAAGTACAAAAATTCAATATGAGTTGACATTTTTGTTTAATATACGGGTGTTTAGTTGTTATGATTAAAAAAATATTATTTGACAATTCAATTAAAACCCAAAGTAATGTTTTATATAAAATTAATTTTTTTAATTAAAAAAAATTAATATTTTTTACATATGCTTCTTAATTCAACACCCGTACACTTTTATTTTTTTCAACAACACCCGTGTACTTATTATCTTATATTATAACTTTTTTTTTAATTGAAATCAAATAACTACTTTTTAGTAAATAATTTTATTTTTTCGAATTAATATTAATAGATAATTTAAATTTTTATAAATATAAATAAAATTATTTATTTATTTTGCATGTATAATATAGATGTCAAATCGAATATCATCAACACATAATTAATTTAATATATTATATTTATATATGTTAGTTTAAGTTAGTAAATTTGTTATAATTTAAAAGAAAAATTAGAAAAAAGTTATACCTTATAAATCACGTCTACAATAGAAAATAGTATTGAGACATAATTAATGCTCTTTAAAGACCATAAATATCCAATATATTTATGGATATTCTAATCGTAGTTACTTTTGGATTGAAAAAAATTAAAATTCATTCAAGCCAAACATCAAAACTTAAAAAGTTGCCACACAGGATCATGAATTGTGCGAGTCTGTCATTTAGGCTCAGCAAATTCAGAAATTATATAATAAGGGGAATTTATATTTTTATATTAGATTTTAAAGTTGTGTAATAAAATCTAATTCTGTTAATATGGCTTTTACTTTTGTGCCTAAGAAATGTGGACAAATATGAAAAATATTGATATGTAGCACATGCACATATACTATTTTTTATTATAACATAATAATATATGGCTCATGAGATGCATGAGATAATAATATTACGATTATATTATAAGTTAAATATATAAATAACATTAATAATAATTTACCATTTTCAAATCTAGACTGGACCGAACAGTCTGACCGGATGGACTGGAAACGATTTATCGACCGGTCCAATTCGCTTTAATAAAATATTTGCTAAAGAACCAGTCAACACTATCTGATAGGACTAGTAGGATTGATACTAAGTTTTTAAATAAATTTTGTTATATTTAATTTTTTTTTTAATATAAATATACATATTTAAATTAAGTAGAGATTTATAAATTATTTATCAATTGATATGAACATTAGAAATTTTTGAAATTGTTCATATATTTAATTAACATTTTTATGTAAATTTATTAAAAATAAGTACTATATATATTAATATTAATATATTGATAAAATTTAAATTCTAATCCAACCAATAAACAATTTGATTGGTTCGATGATAGTCCGATTACGAGAGCCTTGGATTTATCTTACATTAATAAATAATATCATTTTGTTCACATAAATAATAAAATAATAAATAAATGGTCATAAATCATTAAACATGTTGTCATAAAAATTTTTCTAACATGATTATTTGGAACTTGAATTACATTATATTTATCGTAATAAAGTATTTTTAATATTAAAATTCATATTTAATTTAAATAATTAATTTGGTCTAGTCAAAATGACTCATAACTTGGTCACCCGGGAATCAGATCACCCCAGTGTTAACCTAAATAGTAATTCAATCAACTTGAGTAGTAACTTAATTTAATCACTCTATTGATCCAAATAAAATTTCTTATTTTCCTTAAATAGATTTAAATTTGTGAATTAAAATAATATTACATGATTCAGGTAAACGTTTATAACAAATGATATATATTTAAAAATAAATTTATTATATTTTACTTTATTTATAATAATAAATAAATAAATAAATAATATAATTTTAAAATTTTAAAATTAATTGATTGATTATGCAATTGGCACGATGATGTGATACCAACTTGAGTTATTACATAGCAGAGATATTTTGCATATCAATTAGCATTTTTGTAATATGTTATTCATAAGTCATTAAAAATCATATACGGATGGTGTCATAATAAAGAAACTCCTTTAATATAAATTATATTCTCATTAATATATATTACCTACTACAAATTATTATAATTATTATTTTATATATTTTTAAATAATTATTGGGCATTTTCAAACCCGCTCCTCAAATTTCTTTTCGACTTCTTGTCCAGTACTTACCCCTATTTTCTTCCACTACACTCCCTCCTACTTGCTTTTTCAGAAAATTAGTACCATCTTTATATTAATAATCGTACATTTTTAATAAGATAATAGTGTTTACTTTGTTTATTAACAGTACCTAGTCTGTTAGTACCTGAGTCTATTCTAAAGAGTACTTAAATAAATTGAATAATACCAGACCCAACATGCTTTCGTAAAATTAAATAACACTATAATTTTCATACCTTTTCGACTGAAATGCTTCCAGGTGAGATGAGTTGCAATTCCACCAGTCGAAAAATTAGTGTCCCTAGTTTGTTTCACGTACGGCTCCTCACCGTCCTAATTCACACCTATGGAAAGATGAACTACAAGTTATCCAGACTACTTTAGACACCACTCAGCACAACTTTGGTTCGTTTCCTACTCCATGCGTGTATGAACTTAGTTATGGAGATAGATAAAAATTATGACTGCATGTTGTGAAGCAAAAAGGCCCTTTTTTATTATGCCACAGTGTTGCCGAGACTCACAACCAGCGGATTGCCGCACAACTCGAGATTGCCAATGCACATAGTGTCTCTGAGACTCTCGACCAGTGAACTGACGTGCAACTCGAGAGTGCCGTAGCGTTGTCGAGACTCTCCCCAGCAAGCACGCTCGCAGCTCATGAGTGTCAACCCGTAGACGCCCGCGCCTAGCGTATCTGCAGCTCGAAAGTGTTGCCATTAAATGTCTGTTTTCCAATGTGTGTACCTTAGAGGTATAAAAACAGTTGTCCTTTGCATTTAAGGATCACTTACCATTTTGTAAATCTCATTTGTGGGACATTGGATCTCAAATATTCAACCTTTGAAGTTCTCGGTTTTAATACAAGTATCCATATTTTTTATTCGATTTCCTTCGAGTATGCAATAGAAGGGTGAGTATTTGGTATCAAAATTCATCATTTCTTAAGTGCCCAATTTCACTTATGGAGTTTCTTGTGGTAAATGTAGTGTCATCCATAGAGAGTCGGGTTATAAGGTCTTAAATTAGTTAAAGTTTCTAACTTTTGGTTGAATTAGCTTGTCTAAGGTAATTTAGGATTTGATCGCATGCTAATTAAGTATTAAAGATATGACTTTGTTTAAAACTTGATCATTTAGGTGTAAAGACTAGTTTTTAATATTCTATGATCTTACTACTTGCACTTTTGCTTTCCTTTTTTGTTTAGTTGATCTTGAGGAGGACTTTGTAGTAGTTAAATAGAACACTAAAAAACACACAAAAAAAAAAAAACAACAACACAAGACCCCCACAGGGTAATTCCCGAGTGTCGGACTCCCACAGAGTAATGAAAATGACACTCGGATGCACAAAGGCCAACTGCCCAAACCTAAAACACAACGACAAACACAAACACAGATACAAACACACTAAACAAGAACAACAAACCAATCTACTACAAAACAAAAGAAGGAAAAACACAGCTAGATAAAAAGCCCTTCCACAGCAAGTCAGTCAACTAGAACCAGCGGAGAACAGTCGATATCAGAAGATAATCCAAGTCCAGGGACGTCTCCCAACACTGCCACAAGGTCTATACAAGAAGTCGAGCTCGAACACAAGCCACACTCCAAAACGACCCGCCTCAACCGGAAGGACAACCAAACACGCACCCACTCTAGCACCTCCCGAGCACGCCTAACACCACTAGCCGAGCGTCGGAACACCAGATTCCCGTCGTCTAACACCACTAGACGAAATAGGGGGACGACTCGGGCCCTCAGTTCCGACTCCCGTTAGAGCCCCACCCCGCCTCTCAACCCACAACCCAACCAATAAAACCGCAGACCACCGGCATCCGGACTAGACAACCCCGAAAGAAGATCTGCTGGAAAACAGAACCGCCCGAGGTGGCCCTCCATTCGCGCACAGAATCAGAAATAGGAACAGTAGCGGGAGAAGAAACGGCATACTCACCTCCAATCGAGATCGGCGGCCAGTCAACTGCAAGCCGATCGACGACCAAGGGGCGCGCCGCCTCCAATCGCTACCACGCCGGCGAACGAAGGGCAATCCAGACCGACATCACAGGCACGCCGCGGCAACACTGGAGGAGCGGCACAACAGAGGAGGGGTGGCGGTTGAGCGCGACCACCGGCCCGCACCGCACCGTCGCCGAGGAAGGCAACGCAAATCAATGAGGGTTTGGTTTTTGGGATTTGGGAATTTTTCTCTCTCTAAGAGGGATTTGGCGGTTGAATACAATGTTCAAGACTCGTTTTATTTTCCTTTACTGTGTGTTCGACAAATAAATCGTAAACTATATCCGAGTAGTCCTCCTTGAGAGATGAGTCGAGGTTTCAATTANAGTTAGTTCAAAAGAATCTATCCCAATATTGTATCTCAAAAGGCCAACCAGATTATTTTGCACGTTTATTCAAACACAAGAAAAGGAGAAATTAAATCCTAAACATTATAATTCAGATGTTTTAGCTTTTATTTAAATTGCCAATGATTCTAAGAAAATGCAAATGCTCAATTTTTAAATTTCAAACGAGATCTATATGTTGATAAAGAGGTTATAGAGTCGGGGATACTCGTTTATGGTTCCAAATACAAAAATTGGGCAATAAACCATTTGGTTGAAAGGATTCAACTTACCTACACATTTAAAGATTGTCCTCATAATCTTTCATAACAAAAGAATAAACACGAATGCCGGTTACAAGAGCGTCGATTCAACAACACATCTTGTCACCTACTTCCATCAAGGTAAGTAAATTAAGAGAACTACGAGGACTTTGATTCCCAAGGTAAGGAGAATACAGACAACTAACTGACGTATTATAAGTAAAAATATAATCTTTTGACCCAATAGATTCTTCAAGTCAATTGATATTTCAACTTATAATATGTCAACTAAGTCCAAACCCAATTTTTTTAACCTCCTCCCCCCCCATTTTTTTCTTTTTTTAAAATAACCTGAAACTGGTGGTCCATGAACTGGCCCAGAACCGCCGATTTAATAACGTACCAACCCATGCATATGATCGGGCCAATTCAGGAAGCGGCCCAAAATTGGAAAATGGCCATGTCTAACCATGGCACACATATTTTTATTACCAGAAACAAATTGGATTATATTATTCAATTAAAAAAAACTAATAAATTAACTGAGCCAAAGTTATTNGAGCATTTTGAAAAGTTCATTAAAGATAATTAAGATGTATTAGAAATTTGAACGATGCTTTTTTTTTTAAAAATATTATCATGATTATGAAATAAAAATATGTTTCCTTAAAGTGTAAAGAAAACAATATAGGAATCTTCAGAAATAGATCATATATACTTGTGACAAAAAATGTGGCTTTTTATTTCCCGTAATGTGAGGGCCGGGCTTCATCTTCTTCATGCACGCATTTCTGAACTTGGACCAGAGCTTCAGAGGAGAATTAGCTTCCATCATCTGCGGTCTGTTGCTGTTGCCTGCGCCAAGTCTTGCAATTTTTATCTTTCTTTTGCTCTTCTTTGTTGAGAGTTTGTAGCAGCAGCTTCTCTTAATCATCTCCATTACTAGCTCAATTAATAAAGAATATTATATATATAATTTTTTTTTCTCTGTCTCTCTGATTCTATGTGGGTGTGTTTTCTTGGTGGTATATATAATGGCATATATATATTCTTTTAATTTGGAATTTTCTCCTCTACGGGTGTATACTATTACTCCGTCAATCACCGAACTAACTCCACGCTTTTAGAAATTATTAATAATTTATATTTGGCTTCAATATTCTTATAGAGATTATTCATATATTTTAGTCCATCCTCGTTTTCGATAAATATACTTAAACGTGTGACTTTTGACATTTGCAACAACAACAACGTAGAAATTAGAGGGTTGAGCATATTAATGTCAAAATTGTCAAACATGCAAAACCCATTTTGGTTTATGCTATGTAATAATTAATATCCCACTTTTCATAAGATAAAATTCTATTAGAACATTATTATATACTAATTTCCGTCAATCATCCAACTCATGCCTAGAAATTCTTAATTTGTATTTGGCTTAAATCTTCTTAATGAGATCCGTATAATTATTTTGTCTGTCCTCGATTTCGTTAAAGACTTAAAAGTGTGACTTTTGACATTTGCAACAACGCCTGAGAAGTAATAGGGTTGAGCATGTTTAAATGTCAAAAGAGCTCTAAAAGGTTAAAAACGGTATTTACAATAAAATGAATGCCTAAATCTTTGAAACAAAAGTTAATTCGATATTAAATAATATCTTTTCTTAATTAGCTTGATTAGAAAAATAGTTATATTATACTATTGATAGTCGATATATGAACAAGACTATAATAGAGTACTAAACATGAATTTAAGAAGATTACGACAAAGTGGAGAATTAAATGCTTGCGTTAGTAGGCTTCCACATTTGTTTTTATTGCATTAATTTAGTAACATTTAATGATTTTATCAATTTTTCGATATTTTTTTGGTGTATAATAAGCTACTGCTATTTATACGCGGTAAAAGGCGAAAATTCATCATGACTCCTTGATGACTCATGAAACCCGTGGCATACTCTTAGGGGAGTCTGCTCTGTGCAAAGTGATTGATGTTAGTCCACCAGTCCAAGTAGTTGGTAGCTGGTTTTATGGTCGGTAGGCCCTTTTATATTGCGCGATATGAACTGGTTGTTGGCGGGAATTCGTTTCACATTGAGTGGTGAGATCGACACGAAGGATCTTTGCTCTAAGACGAGATTGGCGTGCGTGAACGAAGCTTCACGCTGTGGTCGGTGCCGATGTGGAGATATCAGTTATGAACGTTAAGTGGCAATGTCAGCATGCAGAGAATTGAAATCTGTCGCGAGGTTGCTTTGTATTGTGATCGGCATTTGTGGTCACAAACGCAATGCGTTGATATGTATGGTGTGTATAAGTGACGCTGTATGTGTCGATTTAATGGATATGCTGATGTAATCTTGAGGGTGATGTCCATGTAACCTTGTTGATGCATTTCACGTCGATATATCATTTATGGGCTAGTTCAGATCGACAAAAGCATATAATATCTACTTTTGTAAATAAAAAGATATATATGAATTCATATTAAAAAACTATATTATTAATACGGACGAGTTAAGATAAATTGATATCATCATACGTATAAAGTATTTATAAATAATATTATATAATGAGTTAAAATACGATTATAACATAATACCAATTATTCTTATGGATGCATATGTCATTTAAATAAAATAATAATGCATTTTTATGAATAGTTATCACATTAAATTTAAAACTTTTATTATTCTTTTTTTCTATAACCTTTTATGTGTAAACTTATTAATTAAAATTTAAAACTCGTGTGACACACTACAACTAATTAATTTCAATGTGAAAAATAAAGCGAACGACATTCGAGTAGAATTTCACAAAAGGACCACGTTTTTACTCAAGTCGTGCGCTCTGCACGTTTCTACTTAAATCGCACTTCATTTTGGAGAAAAAGCCACTCTTCATGTCTCGTGAGTTCTACTGTAAACTGCTGTCTCTTGCAGTCTCTTTTTCATTTTGATCCAAAAACTTTGGTGCGTACAACAAAGCTCCTGGTGAGTTCCATCGCTCTATTTGTTCGTTTTTCTTTGTAAGCGATCAATCTTTCTCTTGATGTATCGATTTTATCGAGATTCTGAAATGTATCTCTGATGCGATTCTTTTGTGAGTGATGATACTGTCGATGATGGATTTGACCTGGGTTTTTGGGTTTATTAAGGAAATCGATAGTTTTATTTAATCATTTGTTCATCAGGTTTGTTTATTAGGTCACAGGTGGATTTGGGTCTGATTTTTGATTAATTTGTTGATTGAGCTACAATTGCTTTATTTTTTAGGTTACGGACTTCTTATTGCCGTCAGTTTCCTACCTTCGTTGCCTTTTTTTCTTTTCCATAAAGAAATGCTTCAGTTTATGTGTGCAAATTTGTACCATGAAAGTTGGTGTAATGAAACTGGAAAGATGAAATCTCAAGTGTTTGCCACTATGAGATTGTAGTGAAGTCGTTTGTGTAACAATGCGAAAGTGTCGAGATTATTTAAGTGGAGAATTTTTTCGTGCAGCAACAAGGAGGTCTAAGTTTTGTTCTGGCTAGGTTTAGATAATTACTTGATGGCAATGTAGAATACACGCTGCATAAGAAATAGCTACTATGTATTGCAGCTGAAAATGTCTCTGTTATGAATAGTTGGCGAGTTTATTGGAAAATGCTGTTGATCTAACTTTGAAGACAAGCATTTGCTTGAAAAACTATATGATTGCAAATCGTGGGTGTGTGGAGATTCGCATAAAACTATTTATAGGCCTATCCGAAAACCCCTCTTTAGATTTAGCAATCAAGTCTCCAACAGTTACAACAAACTGTTTCCGTTTCTAAACCTTCCTTCGTTTATTTTCTCTCTCTCTCTCTCTCTTGTTTTTTTTTTCTTAATGTGGTTCTGTTTTCTAACAACGTAGTGGGATTATAACTGCTTGTTGATTGATTGATTGGTTGGTTCTGTTTTATTGCTTTTAGTGTCACATTGGGAACATGGCTGCAGCTGGGAGTTCCATGCTATACTCTTTCCTATTATTCATGGCCACTCTTTCCCTACAAGAAATGTTTAGAACGAAATTAGCTTCGTCGGAGTTATTCACTATTCTTGGAGGATTCACAAGCTCTATCATCTTCCTTATGTTGCTGACGGTAAGGGAAAATTAGCAATCCTTTGTATACTAATGCGAGAAACAGAACCATCTATCGTTGTCAAATGGTGTAACATTTATTTTTGATGGTGGCATATTGCATTTCTTGCGTGTTGAAACTATTTATATCTATAACTTTTATTTGTGTCCTCATTCATAGCCCTTTGTTTATCACCAAAAGTTTAGCTCTGTGTACACACTTTCGGAGTACATTTTCTTCTACATATGGCCCAAAAGCCCAATTAACTCACAAAGCTACAATTCACGGAACATTATGAAGTTAAACTGCTTGAAACACACATACGTGCACTACTAGATTAGCATGAACATTCTAATAGGCGCGATTTTAATGGTTGTGATAATAGTTTAACCTTGCTAGAAAAGTTGTTCTCATTTTCTTAATGTACCTAATTAGCGTACGGTAGACTCTGATTCTGTAAGTACCATTTAGTGGACAAGTGGAGACATTTTCCAATTTGATTGTGCTATATGAGTATGACATGAATTGTTTTTTCTGCAGTTTATTGGAAATTATCAGGAAACAATTGGTGTCAAGACAGGATGGGGGTCTGGTAAGTACCTGTATTCTTGTTTGAAAACTTCTCATGCATTATTTACTCATACCGAGCCTTTGCGTTGAGATAAAGTATGACTTTCGTGTTATTATTTTCCTTATTTTGATGATNAAGGATGCGCATGATAAGCAAATCAGTCGAGTCGAGCACTTATTAGCAGTAGTATAATAAGAGAACATTTAAATCTATTAATTTGTCTCTTCAAATCTCAAAAAACCTTATTTCTTTGTATCTGTAGAACTCCTTTCCTGTAGTCGTTTGAACTTTGATAGATCCCAAAATTGGTGTAGAGGTGTTGAATGAGTTTTATAGACAACTTCCTAAATGTATTCATTTATTTATGTTTGTTATTTTAAAAAAAAAAAGTTCCGTGGCATTGCAAAATTTATAGATACTTTAGATAGGGACACGAACTGATGACTCACTCAACTTTCTACCTTTCTTGTTTCGTGCAGTTATAATTGCAGAAATTGTAGCCCTGATCGCAGCTAGTACTGTTCACCGAGTTTGCATTACAACCTGGTAAGTTTACCATCTTGTATTTCTTCTTTGTGGCACTTAACGAAAGGGAAAATCGAAAACTGTGACCCGATTCACCACTAAACCAAATGGTCTGAATATGCAGCTTTCTTTTTTCTGCTGGGCTGCTGTATGAGGTCAACAAACTTTCAGGAGTCTAAAGCTAAAAGGATATGAATCAATTATTCCTTCTTCATATACTCGGCGAGAATTTTCTTAGACGTGCATAATCTTTACACTTTCCAGCTATATTTCGAAATTACTGTACTAATTTGAATCAGATGAGCTCGTGGACACCCGACTCGTGAACAGTAGAAGTGCATCTTAGAAAATAGCTGGTTTGCTTATTAGGGCTTGTGCCAATTTCTCTAAAAGCATTTGTGCATGGACAATATCATTATATGTTAGATGAACACAGGACAATTTAAGTTCGCAAGATTCAATATTGCAAAATTATGGGTGATGTTGAAAAATTATTTTTCTTGTGATTGAGTTGCAAATGGACAACGAACTAACTATATCACATTTTTCAAAATTAACTATAGTTAACCAAAATAACTCATTTTGAACAAATTATTTCATAAACAATCAAGCCCACTACTGAAGAGTGCATCTTCCAAGACATTTATTAGTAGAAAATATTTAATATAACATAACATAAGATTCTTTTATCTTTCTCCATTCTCCACTTTGGCCATGGCTAGATCCTGCCTCTCCACTACTGAGGAGTGCATCTTCCTCAACTTTAATTATAAATAAATACGGGCCAGATCTGAAAAAAAATACCAGAAGGAGTGGAGTTTTATAAAAAAAAAAATTTCCAGAAATTACAGATTGAGAAATTTCTTTTCTCAATAAAATTACATCCATTTTTTTTTAAAAAAAAAAAAATTGCAGAGGGAGTGGAGCCATGGAGGAAAAAAGGTGGTTTTTTTTATTTTTAATTCTTAGATATAAAGGGGCAATGTTGTAATACCAAAAATAATTCCACTATTATCATTTTTTCCAAGCACGCAATGGAACAATAATCCGAAACTAAATCCTCAATTACCACAATCAAATATGAAAAGCTAGAGGTGCAATAACCAGCACAAGTGCACAACACAAAAAAACATTAGAAAATATGGAAAAGCATTGTGCATGTATTATTTCAGGAAAAATTAACCCCCAAAAAAAATGTTTCATTTGACTAAGCAACTCAATTCTTCAACTCTTTCACTCAAACAGCTACTACAGAGAGACTAGACTGTATTCAGATGAAAATCATCATGGGAGGATTTTCTTTCGCCTGCGAGGTGTCTCTCTCTTGACAAACATTTTTTCAAACTCGTTCAGAGGTCGAGTCGAACCATCGGCTTCACTCACAAACTTCCAGCCACCCCCATTACCACGCTTCCCCTTCTTACCGAGTTTCTCAACCGTGAAATTCCAGCCTTCGTCTGGACGCTTTCGGCTGTACTTGTGGCATTTCACCTTCTTCGCCATCTAAATCATGGTAAAAAAATGACGATATCACATCACATCACATCATAACAAGTTTCGACTCTACTCTTTT